TAGTGCACGAGCTTGGGATTCTGATGTAAATGTGACAAGGCGTGAATGATCGGAGCGACTGCTGTAGGTAACTTTGCCTACTTGAGAGTACTCAAAAGGTTTGCAGAGGTAGAGGCAGTAGAAGGACGAGGGTGAGAGGAAGATGGGGTGTTATGGAGTGGAGTAGTTCTGTGTGGGGGGAGGGAGGACAATAAGAATGAAGAATAGTGACAAGGGAAGAGGGAGTAGACAGTTAAGAAGACTGTGAAGTCGGAGACTGAGGGGAGAATGTTGGAAGAGAGGAAGGGGTGCATTCTGGTTTAGTAATAACCTGGGTGGGTAGTTTACAATGGATGTCAGCAAACATTGAGGGGGGGGGGATTACTATCAGTGGTCGGAGTCATGGTCAAAGAAGGGGCAGGGGTTGGAAAATCGAATTCAGATAGGCTAGTTGATGAAGGGGCAAGCCTCAATGTCCCTATTAAGGGGAAAAACCTTCATTATTGGCCATCGTGAGCCTGAATTAATGGGGGAAAAGAAACGGTCCACCCCTCAGGGTACTCAAAAGGGGTAAGGGCTAGGCTATTAAACAAGAGAATACCGTGCCCATGGCTCCTGGAGGCCGTTCATGACTGACACAAAGCCAGCCTTTCATCCTTTCAATGCGGCTCTTACACCTTAGGAATGGGACAGAAGAAGGTGATGAAGAAGATATAGAAAAGGGAGAAGAGACCATGCAAAATTAGTTGCAGTGAGGGCTGAGGCCCAGGATAGGGCCCTACATTGGGCCTCATTCTTTGTCTCCTAAGCCCTCCCATGACAACAATAAGCAAGGTAAAGGGAAGGATAATAAGAGTGGAGGGGGTAGATGATGAAGAAGACTGTGCAGTAGGAGATGGAGTGTAAAGCGTTGGGAGAGATGAAGAGGTGTATTCTGAAGGTTTGGTATCGACCTAGGACAGATGGGAGGGGAGCAGAGCGAAGGACAGTTTTGGAATTGATAGAGAGGAAAAAATTCTGACACTTGCTCACTTACAATTACAGATAAACAATACACTTATACTTAGCCCACTGTTCCTGGGAATGCATGAATATATACATTGTCCACTGTCTTTTTTATGTAATTAAATTAGTTGATACATGAATAGCTCCAGAAGCATATTAGTTACCAAGGAGTCAATTGCTAGACCTCTCTGACCTCATTTATTTACCTAATTCCCTGATTTTTCAGAAAGAAATTTATTATTCTGATTAGTGTTATTATCATTAATTACATTTCCCCAATAATACTGATAATAATAACATGCATAATAAAACAAATATATTTGAAAATTTAAGTAATAAGGTAAACTGGTTAGTAATTACCTGAGAAGCCCCTTCTGTATAATATTAATAAAACAAAATGTCCGTGGACAATGCGCATGCTAAGTACCCATGTTAAATTATATATGCATATTCAGCAATCACTTTTATTACTTACTTTTAAGTTAATTGTCTCTTGTCATTATCATCATTATCAAAAATAAAGAAAGATATTGACATTACAGTTCAGGCACATGATTCCTATCCATGCAATAGGAGACACGTGGATCCTTCTAATTGGTAGTTGACAGTTAACTTGCTTTATGATGTTGCTACTTTAACTCTTAAATTATAATATGTGGTTTTAGTAGACTGTCACATGATTCTTGAGAAGGAATGTACACCTGAATACAGTGGATTGTAAAACAGAAATAAATCTACAATAAAAGGCAAATTGACAACCAAGTTATTTCAGCATTTATATATATTGTAAAAATGCAACATGTACGTATATTCAGTACAAAATAATTGTCATACACTTATAATAAACTCAACCAGGCTGTCAACAATAAATAACACAACAGTCAAAATGTGTGCCCACCTAACATGATGGTAATACTCAAATATTATCAAAAATTAAATCTTGATAAGTTAATATCAAAATAAATATACGATTACTTGCAATTTCAGTTTAAGAAAACCATTCCAGTTCTTTTCTCCCAATTGAATTACATAAAGCATGAATGGTATGAATCCATCTAAACAGAAAATACATTTACAAAAGGTATAAAATATGTGTACTTCCTTTCTAATGGACTTATATTCTAAACACTGTGAGTCAGTAAGTAACAGGAAAAGGGGACACTAAGATCTTGGATACCATATCTTGTGTAAAAGAAGAAAGCCACAGAGGGTAAAGAATAATGTATGTTATCAAATTATTTCTTAATGCGGTTTCTCATAAATCAATCAGCCTTTTGGGTGTTAGGCCAATATAATGGGAAATTCAACTGACTAACACTACTGTAATGTCAAAAAATTATCAGTAGTTAAAAAATGTATTCATATTTAGTGGCTCCTGTCTGCTAAGACATACCTAATAGTTTTACCACTGAAGGGACTAGCTACAAGCAATCACTCAGGTCTTTTGGTGTTTTAGAAGTGTATTTTCTCCATTTTCAGGTGGATTTTCTTGCATCTAGATCTATTTTTTTCTGGAAAATAGTCATAACAAAAAATGTGTCAATATCAAACATATACTTCTTATCCAGTACCCCCTGCTTCTGGTGAAATTTTCTGGCTACTACTTTTGAAACTGAGCCTTTTGATTTGATTCTCATACCAACTCCACAAGAAAAAGAGAGGAATCAAAATAAATTGTTGCCCTATATTACATGTATTCTATGAGATCAGTGAAAAATATACTTCACAAGGCACTTAGATTCTCAAAAGACAATATCATATGTAAATCACATACTCACTAAGAATCCTTAACTTACACCAAACGACCCATGTATATAGACCTTGGATACTTAGCTTTAAGCTGTGGCCACTGTACAAAGAAATCATCAACAACCCTATAAAGAATCTTGCCTGAGAGGGAGAGAGACAGCACGCGGCACAGACTCTCTATGAACACAATACGAATCTGACTCAGGCACAAAACTCTCATTATGAAAGCAGCAATGCAAATTGGAACACATGTTCCTGGTCCGTTGGTGAGCAGGAGTGATGGCCGATGGCGAAAAACGATAAGCATGCTGAAGACAAAGGCCCAAGCAGTTGTGAACACACTTGACAGCCACGACTGACCCACTTCACGTGATCTTGGCACAATCTCAACTACATATTGGTCCTCTTCATCAGGTCCTTTGGCTCTTTCCTGGAATAGAGTATCTTTTTCATTAAGAATCATTTGCACTTATAGTTTATACTTTTACTGATACACCTCCTGTTTTTCCATAAACTTTGGTTCTAAGACTGTATATTTTGCCAAATCAACAGATCTGCTGCATATCTACATCTTCCTGTACTCCTATAAAGACAACATACTTTTACTTTTTTGTGATAAAAGCTTAAGAATTTACTTATGCAGTCCAGTTTAGTCTAAAACAATGCAAATAACAAATAAAGTTCATGGTCACTAAGACAAAAATGGCAACAAAATGCACTTCAGGGTAGACATTCTCATAAAATAATACAAATAATAATATAACTCAATACATCAGATAATTATAATTCCATATCATAATTCCAGCAGTTTTATAAGTGCATTCACTGTAGAAGATATCCACAAACCTTAAACTCTTTCTCCATATCTTGCAGACGTCTCAGACTAACAGTGTCAGTTGCAGCAACCACATACACTCTTGGGCTGTAGCGGCATACATCCAGTGCACGAATGATTTTGAGCATTTCCCAGTGTGACCTCCTGACCCTAATACTACAAGCGACTTGATGGACCTTTGTACATATATGGGTTTGTCACTGCAACAATTCATGACATACAGGGTATATCCTATGCGCATTAATATAAATGCCAATAGGAAGATGAGAACTACGAATATCATCATCATCTTGTGTTTTTCCTAGAAAGATAAAGAGATGTTTGTATTATAAAAATTGGAAAAAGACTTGTATGATGTAATTACCTAGGTAATTTTACACAATAACTCCGCATAATGGTTTGCAATGATTCTGGTATCAATGAATTCCTCTTGCTCTCTAGTCTCCAAATATATTGAAATTTTACACAGAAACACCCCAAACCCTAACATTTTTGGCTTAGATAGCAAGCAGAAAAGCCATGAAGGTACCAGAGAAATTGCGAATTAAAATCGAATAATATACACAGATTCAGTCACTATGTCTAATGTAAGGGGCTGTGCCCACCAACACCTGCCTAATAAACAAAGACTTCTCCACATGACTGACATGTAGGTGCGCTCAATACCAAGTCTGTTCGACGCTCTCCTGCTGTGAATATATGCACTATTCTTTGTATTCCTGGTCAGGGGTTAAGAGTACAGCAGTACCCAATGGGGGGGGGGGGGTCACAAGGGGTATAGCCCCTGCATTAGACAAATAATGACTGATTCTGTGTATCTTATTCATATTCTACCCTGCAATTTCCCTGGTACCTTTCATGCCCATCCCTGCTATCGGGGCCAAGACTGTCGCTAATGGCGGGTTCTGTGTAATAATTTATTTACATCTGGACAATAGAGAATGAGAGGAATCCAACTTACCAAAATAATCACAAACCAGTATGCAAAATTATTATGTAAAATTATTATTACATAAATAAATAATGCTAAAAACTGAGAAATGTAAATGTAAATCACAAGAAAGTGGAAGTTAGTTGCAATCACTCAATTGCTAATATTCATTTAAATACCTTGTTCCATAAGAACTATTTTACTTTTTAATGACTATTGAATACTAGAAGTACTCATTATATATAATCTTGCTATAAGTTTCGGTAAATTTACAGAACAGTTCTGACTAACTGATCAAGACAATTTTGGTATCAATGGATTTCTCTCACTCTCCCAATCTCAATAAGAATGCCAGGGCGCTAATGAGCCATAAATATGCATAATATACTTTCCAAGTATAAAGAAATTATTGTTGCAGAACCCCCCCCCCCCCCCCCCACATTGGCGACAATCTTGGCCCCAATAGCAGAGGTCATAAAGGGTACCAGAGAAATTGCCATA